TTTTTTTTTTTTTTGTGGTACTGGGGATTGAACTCAGGACCTTGTGCTTACCAGGCAAAAGCTTATTCTACTGAGCTATCTCCCCAACCCTGGCTTCTTGATTTCTGCAGGGGTTGGGTTTGGCTCTTCTTGAATATTATAGCCAAGCTTGCAACAGTCATGGGAATGCAACTCTATCTACATGAGAACAATTCTGTAATCTTGCATTTAGGTGGGGGGAGAAATTCAACACTGGCGTTGCTTTTACAGCTTTGTATTTGCATTTCTCCAGTCTTCCTATCAACATTTTAGTATGAAAATGTTATAGTGCAAAGACCCTCTAGCCATAACTGCTTTGCTATAAACCAGTTATACTACCCCTCCAACCATCCATCCATCAGCTTCTTTTTTTTATTATTTTTTTTTATTTTTAGGGAAAGGTCTACAGGGTGTTCAGGGTCTCATTACTAGATCAGACTCGTACTGATCCACTTGTTTACAGCCTCCCAAAAGCTGGGATTACAGGCATGCACCACCCCACCCAGTCTCAATTGCTGGTCTCAGCATGCCCTACAGGCAGGGCCAGCATGGCAGGCCCAGGGATCAAACCCCCAGCCCCTGCAACTGCTTGTAGGCGCTTTAACCCACTGAGCTATTTGGCCAGCTCTCATAAGCTTATTTTCTGATGCATCTTTAATGTGCAAATTTCAGTGGATTCTCTCTCCCAGTATCTCATACTTGTTACTAGCCAGCATTTAACTTTTTTTTCTTTTCTTTTTCTTTTTTTTTTTTTTTGCAGAACTGGGGATTGAACTCAGGCCCTTGCGCTTGCCGGGGAAGCACTTATTCCACTGAGCCATCTCCCCGGCCCCAGCGTTTAACATTTGCTATGAATATTCTTGTGTAAGTCTTCATCTTAAAGAGCAAAAATCTTTAACTTGGAGGCTGACATACTAAGGAGTAGGTGCATACTAGGGAAAGTCTTGTTTTATTCAGAACTGTTAGATCTTCTCCCAAAGTGCTTGTTGTCATCTGTAATGTCACCAGCGGCCTGTACACCCTCTAGTTCCCTGGCCCCGCTGGTGGTGTGAGTCTTGGGTGTCACCATCCTAACAGGTGTGCATATCTCCTGGCAGTCTAACTCATGGCTCTGCTCACATTTACCTTTCTTTGTGAAGCCCCTGCTCAATTCTGTTCTCCCATATTTTTATCAGGCTTTTGGTCTCTCTGTTAGTAAGTTGTACAAGTTTATTACATACTCTGGGCATTGGCCCTTTGTCATTTATTATACAAATATTTAGTCCAACTTATGGCATGCTTATTTTTTTAACAGTACCCTTTACTGGGCAGGGTTATTTTTTGTTTGTTTCTTTGGTTTTGTTTTTTTTTTTTAACTTTGACAAAGTCTAATTAGTTTCTCCTTTCTATGTCCTGAGAAACCCCAAAATGGTAGTATTCCTCCATATTTTCTCTAGAAGCTCTGTAGTTTCAGTGTTTAGGTATAACTGTGATTAATGTGAATAGCCTTTTTTGTGTATTGTCTGAGACTGGAATCATGACTTCTTCATTTTATAAGAATGTGTAACCCTTCCAGCTTGGGAGACTCCTATTAAATTGCTTTGGTATGTTAGTTAAAAAATCTGTAGGGGCCGGGGAGATGGCTCAGTGGAATACGTGCTTCCCTGGCAAGCGCAAGGGCCTGAGTTCAATCCCAAGTTCCACAAAAAAAAAAAAAAAAAAAAATCTGGTTGGTGTTGCTAGTATGTACCTGTAATCCTAGCACTTTGGAAGCATAAAACTAGAGGGTTACAAGGCCAATCCCAAGTTGGACAGTTTAATGACATAGCAAGATCCCAACTCAAAATAAAAATAGCTAGAGATGCAGTTCAGTAAAAAAGGTGTTGGGTTTAATCCCCAGTACACACACACACACACACACACACACACACACACACACACAAATGTTCCCTTAATAAGCATGGATTTTAAACATGTTATCTCTGAGCAGCAGCAAGTGGAACCTCATCATTGTGTGCATACAGTTCCCACATGGACAGTTTTGCAACTCTGGCCTTGACCTTCAGGAGGAAACTGAAGCACTTAGGTGGCTACTGCAGCCAGGCCAAGCCACTCTTTCCTGACCTGGGAAACCACTGAATATTAAAAATAGTTCAATCTTGTGGTAACTTTTTTTAATCTCATGACTAAAGTTACTTCACCTGAAAAAAAATTTTTTTTTAATCTCAGTGATTCATGTAGTAAATCTGTGCACTTGTTGAGGGGGGATATAGAATACATGTTTCTGCTGGTCAGGAGCCACCCTCTCCTCCAAGTCATCTGCTACCTGCTAACAGCAGTTTGGTTTGTCTTAAGTTCTTATCTGTTTCTATCTCAGCTTCTTGTTTTTTCTGGTCATGTCATGAAATTGAACTTGAGAAAGTTCTTGATGCTGGCTGGGCCTGATAAAAATGGTACAGGTTCACCAATTGACAAAGTGTCTGTCTGTTCTCTTATTAGAAATTGAACCCAGGGCCTATATCTTCAGTTTTGTTTGTTTGTTTGTTTACTTTTTGAGGCAAGGTCTCACTAAGTTGTACAAGTTGGGCTCATTGTTTTGGTTTTTTGCTTTTTTTTTTTTTTTTTTTGTGGAACCAGGGATTGAACTCAGACCCTTGTGTTTGCCAGGGAAGCGTGTGAGCTCATATTTTTGATCCTCTTATTTCAGTCTCCCAAAGTGCTGGTTCTACAGGCATGAACCTAACTGAGAGGCTCTTTTTAAACTGGACATGTTTCAAACTCTGTGTGTGTGTGTGTGTGTGTGTGTGTGTGTGTGTGTGTGTGTGTAATTGAACCCAGGAGTGTTGTACCTCAGCTCTTTTAATTGTTATTTTGGACACATAACTAAGTTGTTGAGTTGCCCTCAAATTTGCTATCTTCCTGCCTAGCCTACTGAGATCTGGAATTGCAGCCACACTTTGCTCAGACCATTCTTGTCCAAAGGAGCCTTTTGTCCTGGGGCTTGCAATCTGTGTTCCATTAAAAACAGTTGGAAGAAGCACATAAGGAAAGACTAGACCAGCACACTCACCACGGAGCCTGCC